CGTGTACTCCAGCATGCACAGGGCTTGAAAACACCAGATATATATATATATATATATATAATATGATAAATATATATATATATATGATATATATATATTATATATATATAGAGGGGAGGCTCTCTATTGTCTTTGGGTGTATAACGAGCGCAGTAGATAAACCGACTGTACATACAGCTGGTGTTTGTATATACACTGCAATTATTATCTCTTGTCTTTGTTTATTTGTTTACTTTATCTTTTTCGTCTGCTGTCTTCTGCTTCGTCCTTCTACATTGGGGGTCTGCTGCTGGCTCAATCCTGCTGCAGCAGCAGCAGCAGCAGCAGCAGCAGCGGCTGCTGCTGCTGTTTGCTTCTACTTGGCTGTGTTTGTTCTGTTTTATTTTATGTTTGTCGCGTTTGTTAGGTTTTGTCTCATTGTCGGTCTATCAAACCTTTTATATCTTCATATTTTCTTACTTTTACCCTTTGCTTGCTGTATAAACTCTGTTTGTATATTTATCCTGCGTTGCTGCTGCTAGCCTCGTCGGTGTATATGCAGCAGCAGCAGCAGGTGGTGCTGCAGCAGCAGCAGATTGCGCAGCAGCAGCAACAGGTGGTGCTGCAGCAGCAGATCACTGGTGCTTCAGCTTCTTATTATATCGCCCTCGCATACAATGTGTTTAGGGTTTAGGGTTTAGGGTTTAGGGTTTAGGGTTTAGTTGACTGAAAGAACGAAGACAAAGAAACCCTAAACCCTCAAATGCTGCTTGCTTCTGGGTGTAGGCTGAGGCGCGAAGTATTAGGGTTTAGGGTTTAGGGTTTAGGGTTTAGGGTTTAGGGTTTACTAGGGTTTACTACAGTATATTAGGGTTTATTAGGGTTTAGTGTGTGTTAGGGTTTAGGGTTTGTTAGGGTTTAGGGTTAATTAGGGTTTAGGGTTTGTTAGGGTTTAGGGTTTATAGCGGAATCAATGTAAGCCGCTGCAGGCTTACAAAAAGCAGAGCGTCTGCAGCACAAACCCTCACGAGGGTTTATTAGGGTTTATTAGGGTTTAGGGTTTAGGGTTTTAAAGATAAACCCTAGAGAAAAACATTGCTGCTCGTTCATTGCTGCTGCAATAAATACAAATCGATTAAAAATTTCAAACAAAAAGAGGCGTAAACCGATGAGACAGCAGCAGCAGCTGCTGCTGCCGCTGCTGCCGCTGCAGCAGCAACAGCAACGCAGCAGCAGCAGCAGCAGCAGCAGCGATAAGCAACTGCAGCATCTAGTAATTGGGATATTTCAAAGCCCTTCTTTAGTCATTCAACGACCTTGAAGAGGCATAGCTTAGTATTTATTTTTGCTGCTGCTGTTGCTGCTGCTGCTGCTGCTGCTCGAGGCCCCACAGATCGGGTGTCTGTACAGCAGCGAACAGACGACATTTGAAATTTAACTGTTAATTTTAACACACTTGTACCTTTAAGTCTCTTAACTTAATTTATTTGCGGCTGCTGCAGCAGCAACTGCAGCAGCAGCCACTGCAGCAGCAGACACTGCAGCAGCAACTGCAGAATTAGCAGCAGCGGCTAGAGGGAGAGTACAGTAGCGAAGACGGCAGCTGCAGCGCTAATAAAGGCAGCAGCAGCAGCCTATATAGCGGGAGCAGCAACAGCAGCAGCAACAGCAGCAGCTCTCACAGCAGCAATAGTTGTTCTTAGCTGCAGCAGCAGCCGCAGCAATAGTTCTTCTCTGCTGCTACAGCAACAGCAGCAGCAGCAGCAGCATTAGTAGCCAAGCCATTTATAGTTGCCGCGGCCTCAACACCCGATACAAATGAATGCAACTTCTGCAGCAGCAGCAGCAGCTGATGCTGCAGCAGCAGCAACTACTGCTGCTGCGCTTTCGTCAGCAGCAGGAACGCCTGCAGCAGCAGCAGCAAATTGCAGCAGCAGCGATGCAGTTGCTGCTGCACCAGTAGACGATGTAATCATAAGTGTTAATTTTCTGCGTCATGCAGGTAAGGAGCTGCTGTTGCTGCTGCTGTTGCTGTTGCTGTTGCTGCTGTTGATGTTGCTGCTGCTGCTGTTTAGGAGTGCTGCTTCACTTCGATGCATTCTGCTTCTGCTGCTTCCACCTGTTGAAATCCCTTTGTTGCGTCAGCAGCAGCAGCAACAGTAGCAGCAGCAGCAGCAACAGCAACAGCAGCAGCAGCAACCGCAGGAAGCTGACGTACAGACAGTTGTTTTTGCTTTTGCTGCTGCTTTTTCTTCTGCTGCAGAGGGTAGTCACAACGTAGGGGCACGCGACAGGTAAACCCTAAACCCTAAACCCTAAACCCTCAGCAGCTAGTGGTTTGCCTGAGTCTGGATTGGAGACACCCGGTTGTGTGTTGCTGCATCTCAGCGGTGCTGCTTCTGCTGCTGCTTTTGCTGCTGCTGCTTCTGCTGCTGCTGCTGCAGGCCTGCTGGTCGCAGCTGCTACTGGGTGTATTCGCAGCAGCAGCACTTTGACGCAGATTTATCTGAAGCAGGTTTGCTGCAGGCGCGAGCAGCAGGAGCAACAATGCCGAAGCCTTTGCTGCTGGCGCTGCAGCAGCAGCAGCAGCAGCAGCAGCAAGGTTGCTGCTGCTGCATTCCTTTTGCTGTTGTCTACACCAGTTCATTAAGACGAACAATTAGAACAGCCTATGAGACCCTCCGTGCTGCACTGGGGCCCTCAGCAGCAGCAGCAGACACAGCAGCAGCAGCAGCAGACACAGCAGCAGCAGCAGCAATAGACGTCCCTGTTGTAGCCTTAGAGGAGACAAGAGAATGGGCTGGGGGGAATCATCAATGCGACAGCAGATACCCGTAAGCAAACAACACTGCAGCAGCAGCAGCAGCAGCAGCAGCAGCAGCAGCAGATACTGCAGCAGGGTGCAGAAGCAGCAGCAGCAGATATTGCAGCAAACTGTAGCAGCAACAACAGCAGCAGACATTGCAGCAGACTGCAGCAGCAGCAGCAGCAGCAGCAGCAGCAG